AGAAACCTTGCTCAACACCAAAACAAGCACATCCTCATAATCCTCCCCCAATTTATTTTTATTTTTACTTTTTATTTCATATTATTATGAGGGTACAATTTTTTAGGTTACATTGTTTGCAAAAAGGAGTATTCTCAGCTACTGTGGACCCAGGGGGCATCAGGCTCCCCCAGTTTATAAGGATTGTGTCTTTCTATCACTGTTCTTCTCCATGCCCTCTTCCTCTAAAACCACCTCTACCCCATCCTGCACTCCCAGGCACTGCGCACCCTCCTTCAGGCAGCTCTTCTTGCGCCCTCCCATTTGTATGGTGAGGCTCTAATTGTAATTGACAGCTGAGATCCCTTTGTTAATGTTACACAGCCCAGATTAGGCTACCAAGCCATGGTTTTGGGAGAGCTGGGGTTTCCTGCTTCTTTCTGTGGGTTCCAGCATCCTGTCCTCACCAGATCATCATCACTGGACTTCTTGATGTGACTTACCCTGCCCTGCACCCTGGGAGGGGATGGAGTTTAGAGGAAAACACACTGCTTGGTTCTTGTCCTCCCTGCTTTGTCTGTGTAGAGCCCTTTCTTCTTCACCTAGCACTTCCCCACTCCGGAAATGGGCTCTGGGAATCCCACCCGCCTCCTGTGCTCTGGAAGGAAATTATTTTTCAGGGTTCCTATCAGACGGTTGGGTCCTTTTGTGTTCGGAGTTGGCATTGTCCTCTCTATATTTAGTGTTTTAAAAAATGGTTCTCTCATGCTACTATCTTTCCTGGAAATAGTATTTTTATCAGAATAGAACACATTTTTATTATAAAAGGGAATAAGAGGACAGAACTTGTTCTTGATTGCAATCAAACATGATGGAAACGATTTCCTGCCCTTGGATCCAGCTGGGACGACTCCCCTGGACTACTAATTTGTGTCAGGCTGGCACTGTGGCCACACTGGGAGTGCCCTGCTTGGCCGTCTCATCCATTTGGATGTCATTGCAGGGAAATTAAAAGACAAGGGGAAGCAAGTCACATGTATCAGACACTGACTGGGGCTCTCCATTTATCTCTTTTAATCATCACAGCAAGACTGTGAGGGAGGTTTTACTGCACTTATTTTATTGTTGAGAAAACTGAGACTCAGGGGAACTGGCTTTTCTCATATCACACAAATTGTAAGTGGCAGATCTAGGATTTGACTACTGCTCCTTTTCCTGCACAAAACCCTTCAGAATGAGCCCAGCTTTCAGCATGAAATCCATGCTCCTTTTATGGGCACTACAGGGGCCTCATTATTTAGTGTCCTGGTGGCACCTTGCCAACCTGGCGGCACCTTCCTGTACACTCCACTCAGCACACTTTCTCTGGTCTCCAGGTCTTCACAGGTGCCTAGAAGCCTTAGTTTTTCTTCCTGCCTGTTTTCTGCTCCCAGGGAAGAAGTCCCACTCATCCTTTCTGTGCAGCCGAGGTTCCTCTCCTAAAGTTCGCCCACGCATTCCCTGCTCGGGCCCCCATGAAGGTTTGGGGCTCATCTTCTTCGCTCAGGCAGCTGCTGGTGTAATTGACTTGTGTCACAGCACTGACGGCGGCGGTAATGGGAAGGACAGGTCTTGGGCCACCTTGTGCTGCATTCGCCCTCCCTCCCACTACCAGCCAGGTTAGGGTACAATGCACCCCAAATAAATACTTTCCGAATGGATAAATCCATTCCTGTCTGCCAGACCCCAAACCTTGTCACAGCTGGAGAGAGCCTGCTTGTCTTTGTCGTAGTTTCCTCTACCTCCTTCCTGACCTGGGAAATGCAGAGATGTCCGTTGGAGCTGCCCTGGGACACCTGCTGGCAGCTCCGGGGGAGCGCCCAGCCCGGCTGTGCGATCTTGCAGGCAATGCTGCGCCCTGGCGTCGCTTCTCAGTGCTGCGGCTCTCTCCTGGTCTGGGGCTCAGAAGAGCCTAGTGTGGGCATCACTTCCACTGGGGAGTTGGAATTTAGGGGAGGGTCCACGTTTGGCTAAGTATCCCAGGGCTTTTGAGCAGGAGAGTTGAGAATCGGCCCCACGGCATTCAAACCTGAGCTGGTATCCTTGTCTAGTCCTGAGGGAAGGCCTGGAGTGGTGGGCATTGTCTAAGGCTATGACTTTAGACAAGGGCCTGAACTTGGAGGTTTTCTGATTGTAAAGCAAATACAAGTGTGTGTGCGGTGGGGAGTGGGGAGTGGGGAGGAAGAATGCTGAGAAACAGAAAATAGAGAAAAGAAAGATTACTGGTAAATCCAGAAACATCAACTGTTAACCATGTGGGTGTGTACTCTTTTAATGTCTTTCATGTATACCAGTGCATTAATTATTATAAAACCAGGATTATAATGTAAATAAGTTTTTTTAAAAAGCACCTACTATGTCCTGAGTTCAGAAGCAGAAGAAAATCAGGAAAAATAGAAAAGCAAATGAAGAAAGAAGAAAATGGAGAAACCATTTCTAATCCTACCGTCTGCAGAGGGCCGTTCTTCCCAGCTCAGTTTATATTTGGGACAATGACTGTTGTATATCTAGTTTGCAAGAATCCAAATCAAAAACTAAAATTTCCCAAGGGAAGAATTTATTTTTATATCTTGGTTTACCCCCTACTAGTAGATACTTTTTTTCTTCCCTGCCTGAAATGTCCTCACCATCTTCTGAAGACATCCTCCGACCTCCCCTTCCTCCACATCCACCCAACATGCTCCATTTATACGGCTCCTATGGGAGTAGCCATGGTTTCTGTGAACGTGAGTGTGTACATCTGTGAGATTAGGTTTTAGGAGTGAAAAAGAGAGTGCGTACTGTTAAACATTTTGATAGATACCACCAAACTTTTGTAGAGAAACTATAGCAATTTGCATTCACCAGCAGTTGCAAGAGTCCTTGTTTTCCAGTAGTGTCACCAACAAAGTGTCAAACTTTTGGCTCCTGGGATCACACATCTGAAGTTTTGCTAAAATGTACTGGATGTGCGCTATTCCAGGTACGAGGCTAAGTGCTGGCCGTTTACTACTACTCACTGAATCCTCAAAATAACTCAGTAAGGGAAGTAGTATATCTTCATTCTACAGAGAGGAAACAGATTTAGAAGGTTGGTCTACCTCAATTTGAAGAACTGAGTTCAAGCTTGGAAGGCTAAACTCCCAGCATCCATCTTCCTAACTAGTAATTCTCAAATTTGAATGTTCGCTGGAATCAGTCAGGGGGCTTGTTAAAAGTTGGTTGGCCCCTATCTCTAGTTTCTGATTCAGTAACAGTAAGATGAGCCTGCCAACAGGCATTTCTAAGTTCCCACTGACCACACTTTAAGAACTATTGCTCCTATTAACTCCAATATGAGGCCCTACCTAGAAATGACTTTGATGATCTACCTTTGACCTTAGCTGGGTCAGGTTCATTTGAATTCTGTATGTTCTATAATATACACATTTGTCTTTGTATGTGTGAGAGAGAAAGAAAGTACATAGAATCTTTCATGGTATTTTGAATGTCCCAAGTAAAGCTGGTTGGTGGCAAATGATTTCCGTTCTTCAAGACTGTTTAACTAATTTGTAAAGGGAGGTAGTGTGCAGAGGAACTTTTCGGGGAATTACAAGGGGTACTGTATGCAAACAGCAGTTCAAAGACTGCAAAATATAGTCATAATTATTCCTGCTATGGAAAGGCAGCGAGGTACAGGGAGAAAATGCTTTGGAGTTGAGAAGGTATGGACTAAGCTCATGGTTCCGTGTGACACTGGGCATCAGTGTCTCTGAGCCTCAAATTTCTTCTCTTTAGAAATGGGGATGTTATGGGATATTATTTAACCCTTTGAGGATTAAACAGCCCCCCTGTGTGTATCACCCTTGGCGCTCTTCTGCTCCAGAAACATGGAGGCAGTGAGGAAAAGGATGGCTCTGGAACTAGGTTATAACTCGGTTGCTCAGGGCCATTTCCACTCTAGATTCCCAGGGCTAATAATGTTCCTTCCCAAATTTGCTCCTAGAAAATCTCATCGTCTCCTGCTCGTCCCACATCCTGGTGAACACTTCTCTGTGACACAAAATAGATCCTTTTCTACATTGGGTAAAATGTGAGGATACTTTACAGATTCCTGGAAAGAGCCCAGGTTGAACCCGATAACCATAACATGGACCCTTGGCTGGTGCCAATTGTTCTAGGTGCTAAAGATATGGCAATGGACAAACAGATTGTTTTAACCTGATATTTTTAAGCAAATTGTGGGTTATCTTTGGTGAAGCTGCCAGGGTTCTAAAATCTTACTATTATCAATAATATACTACATTTTGAATGCATACCTAGTGTTTACCATGTGCCAGGCAACATAGCTTATAACTGCTGTATTTCTTTTGACCTTTACAACAACTCTATGAAGTAGAGTCAATTATTTCTCCAAACAATCAAAATAAGCCAAACAAAATTGAAGGTCACAGAGAATGTCATTGGCCCAAAGGCATATATTTTATAAATGAATACAATAAAGATTAGACCTGGCTCTGATTCCTTGATCCACACTCTTGAATATATTTAAATAATTTCAGTGACAATCAAGTTACAGTAGCAAAACAGATGCAGAAACATGATCGAGTTCAGTTCTTTTTTAAGTCTGTTATTATGGCACTCCCCAATCTTAGGTTAATTTAGACTTTCTGTTAATTATGGCAAATGCCACTTCTATGTTAGAATCGGGCAAACAATATAAAAGAAAATTAATCTCAGCATCACGGGGCAGTGGTGTTAGTCATCAGCGTCTAAAGCAGAAACTCATTCCTCCCCCATGCTCATAATTAATGTTCTTGGAATTACATTGTTGAGGGGTTGGGGGCTTAAGAAGGTAAAAGATGGGTAGCCCAAAATAAAAATATATTTCCTGTGAGGGGCACATACAAACACATCTTTTCATTACTGAGGGTACTGCAGATACGAAGTTTCAATGAAAGGGGCCATCAACTGTAACACACAAACTGCTTTGTCCTTTACGTACAGATAAAAGAGAGAATTTGTTTTCATTCTGAGTTTATTTGACATTTCATCCAGTTGAAATGAAATAATACATTGACTCCAATACTGGCAAGACACTGTGCTAATACTGAAATAAAACTGCCAGTCAGTAAATACTTACATCATAATTCTTTATATCACATCAATAGAAATATTAATAATTATTTAGTTTTACAAGCTTATTGCACTGCACATGGAATTTTTTTTTTCTCCAGAAAAGGTATTTCTAAGAGATCAGCAAGGATTGCTAATCTTGGTTCATTTGTTCTTTTTTATAAACCATGATTAAACTATACAGTCAATATTTCTATATAAAAGCATTAAGAGTCTGAAGCTTCAAAAAACAATGTTTAAAAAGACACATCTCCTACTTAATTATCATAACTATTTCACTGTATAACTATGCTTTGGTCACATCTTCCTGGTGTGTGTCAAATTTCGGTTAGCTCATCAGCCTCCCTACTGGTCAGTAACTTGGTCCTGAAGGTTGACATTCTGAAACAGAGCTGAAGATTAAGCAGGGTGAGAACTCTGAGATGAGCTGTGGTGAGGTGGGTGGGCCTCAAGTACTTTAGCTTCTTATACAAAGTGCCTTGAAGCACCTTACGGAGATCTGCCCTGAATTTCAGGCTTTTACCACTTTTTCAAAGAGAAGCATTGAGGGCAACAGAACCTGTTCAAGGCCAGAATGTCAAGGGGAAGCCATTTTGCTTTGATGACTTTAAGACAGAATATCAAAATGAGAATTCTGGTAGCCCCCTAAAGAAGGCTCCCAGCGTCTCAAAGCTTCAGATCCATTAATCCTTTCAGAGAAAAGAGGAACACAGACACAAGGCACACCATTTTCTCTTTATGAGGAAACTCAGTCTGGTCACATTGTCAGGAAAAAGAATCTGTCAAAACTAAATGGTTTATTTTTTTTCACTTACAAACCTCTGAATTACAACAATCTACACGCAATGAAACAAACACCTTGTACAGTGGCCCCTCGGTGTCTGCAGGGGATTGGTTCTAGGACTTTCCCACCCCCAGGATACCCATTACCCAAGTGTGCTGCTCAAGTTTATGATATAAATGGCATGGTCTTTGCATACAGACTAGGCACATCCTCTAGTGTACTTTAAACCATCTCTAAAGTACTTCTGATACCTAAAAGAATTTAAGTACTATGTAAATGATTGTTATACTATATTGGTTTTCAAATTTGTATTATTTTCCATTGTTGTATTACTTTTTATTGTTTTTTAAAAATATTTTCAATCTGCACTTGGCTGAATTCATGAATGTGGAACCCGCAGGTACAGACAGCTGACTGTATATGACATTAAACATCTACAGACTTGAAACATAATCTCTGTTACATTAAATATATTATCTGTGAAATTACTATAGGTGATGTAAACAGTGGTACATAGTTTCATTATTTTCAAACAGGGTGATATACAATATTCAAGTAAAATTCACTGTGACTGATTTATACATGTATTATCTGTGTCTTTCTGAAAGTGAAAGAGATTTATAAGGGTGACAAGAAAGGACACTGAGATAGCTGGAACCATGTGGTCTCACTTAAGAAAATCTGGCACATCAGCTTCAACCCAGTCATACTGCACTGGTATTAAATATACTTCCGAAATGTGACATTGATACATTTCAGTTATTCGATTATTTGATGTAAATAACAATAATAAAGTCAATCACTGCAAGGTAAGGTGAACATCATTGTAAGAATACAAAATAATAAATTTAAAAACCAACTAAGGATATCCACCCACCATTTGAATGCACATGACTGGACAACAGGGAGGGTGTGTTGCCCTGGTCCATGGCTGTGGCTTTTGGAAGCTACAACCAAGGAGCTTTTACTCTATAAATCCTAAAACTTTATCATCTACCTTGGGCCCAACCTGGAAGCAAACTGCCCTTAATATGTAGGGATAAGATTCTACAGGTTAGCCTTACAGCTTTTATATTTTCTGAATTCACTGCTGAGATCTCCTTGATTTAAGATAATAATGAGATGGAAATTCAGTATTTTAAACAGATTTCCTTTCACTGATTGATAATCAATAAACATTGACTGAGCATACACTGAGCACCTATTCTATGTCTAGCAGTACTTTTTTAAAACCCTGGGTGAGGGTCGAGACATTGTCTTTGAAAAACAATTACTGTAAAAGCTACAGGAAGGGCATTTCCATAAATCATGATTTATCCAAATGTAGGGGAACCAACAGGTGCTGGGCACCTGGCCCACACCAGTGCTGTGTTGTAAGTAGCAGCTTTATTCTAAAAGGCTGATGTGGATCTTTAAAAGGTATTTGTAGCTGGGAGAACCCAGGTTGAACAGGATTTTCCTCACCCACATGGCAACACCAGGTTTGCTGTTGGCAGGACTAGCGGTAGAGGGTTCCCTTCCTCCTTTACAGCCCCTTATTGAAGTACACGTGCCGCAACTCAGGACGGGTCTCTTGGATCTTAGCTTGCAACTCAGCCTCCAAGCTTGTCACAGACATGGAACTGGGGTAAGAGAGAAACAACAGGGTTATGACACAGGCAGACGTGGGAACTAGAACCTAGAAAGAGCAGGGAGGGGGTGAGGGATAGAGACCTCAGATCCGTGCAGGGGTGAAACTCGTACAGTGTAACTTGAGCAACATGTCATATGGCTAGAAAAACAGTATACTGTTCTTTTCAGAAAACTAATTGTCACTAATAATGGAAGAAATGCACCTTCAGACCCCCAACCCTTTTTACCTCTCTTTTTCCCCCCTTTTTTTTTCTGAGACAGAGTTTCACTATGTCACCCTTAGTAGAGTGCTGTAGCGTCACAGCTCACAGCAACCTCACACTCTTGGGCTCAAGCAATTCTCCTGCCTCAGCCTCCCAAGTAGCTGGGACTACAGGTGCCCACCACAACACCTGGCCATTTTCTTGTTGTAGTTGTTATTTAGCTAGCCCAGACTGGGCTTGAACCTACCAGCTGTCAGTGCATGTGGCTGGTGCCATGGTAACCACTGTGCTATGGGTGCTGAGCCTATCTCTCATACTAGTAAAAGCTAAAAAAAAGTCTTTTTTTTTTTTTGAGACAGATTTTAATTCTGTTGCCCAGGTTAGAGTGCCATGGTGTCAGCCTAGCTTATAGCAACCACAGACTTCTGGGTTTAAGCTATTCTCCTGCCTCAGACTCCCAAGTAGCTGGGACTACAGGCACCCACCACAATGCTCAGCTATTTTGTTGTTGTTGTTGTTGAAATTGTCATTGTTGTTTGGCAGGCCCAGGCTGGATTTGAACCTGCCAGCTCCAGTGTATGTGGCTGGAGCCCTAGCTGCTGAGCTACAGGCACTGAGCCTATGTCTTTAGCTTTTGATTAATCTCAAGACAATTATGTATTTTGTTACTATTTTCTTTTCTTTTTCTTTTTTTTAACAGAGACTCACTCAGTCACCGTGGTGTTATCAGAGATCAGCAACCTCAAACTCCAGGGTTCAACGATCCTTTGGCCTCAGCCTTCTGAGTAATTAGGACTACAGATGCTGCCAGCACTCCTGGCTAGTTTTTCTATTTTTAGTAGAGTTGGGTCTCCCTCTTGCTCAGGCTGGTCTTGAACTACTAAGCTCAGATGATCCATTCGCCTTGGTCTCCCAGAGTGCTAGGATTATAAACATGAGCTACCACGCCCAGCCTTTTGTTACTATTTTCAAAGAACCAACTGTTGACTTTGCCCCTCCTCTACTCTTTGTTATATATGTTATTCCTGATCTGTTCTCTTTCCTTCTGCTTTTTCTGGAGCTTATTCTTTTGTTCCGTTTTTTAAATGTACGTTGGAATTTAGCGCATTAATTTTCAGCCATTCTTCCTAACGCAAACATTTAAAGCTATAAATTTCTCAGAGCAACACATTTGCTGCTTCACACAAATTTTAATCAGGTACGTTTTCGTTATCACTCATTCACACAGGAGAACGGATAATCTCAGTATATTCCTATGATGAAATACGATACAGCAGTAACAATGAACGAAATACATGTAATATACAACAAATATTAATGGAAAGAACAAATACTAGAAGACTATATGTAGCAAAAGAGTATGATGCCTTTGTCTAAAAAGTTTCAAAAGATGTAACTCACTGGAAATATTTTTAGTTATAGCTTGGGCAGTAAATGAATAGGTGTTCATTATATTGCTAAAATAAATAAAATAAACAAAATAGGGTCATGCTTGAACCAATGGCATAGGGTATCATGAACCAGGAAATACAATTAATTATACTCTTTGCAACTGAGGAGCAAGACACATAAAGAAAACCAAACATACAAACAAATGCATAAACAATAAGCAGAAAGCAGATCCATCCGTCTTAATTTTTTTTTTTTTTTTTTTTTTTGAGGCAACCTCGCAATTTCCCCCAAGATGTAAAAAACATTCTGGTACAAATGTAATCATGGTGCACTGATGTTCAAGCGAGTCTCCTGCCTCTGCCTCCCAAGTAGCTGGGACCACAGGCCCCCGCCACAACGCCTGGCTATTTTTTGGTTGCAGCCATCATTGTTGTTTGGCGGGCCCGGGCTGGATTGGAACCTGCCACCTTAGGTGTATGTGGCTGGCGCCTTAGCCACTTGAGCCACAGGCGCCGAGCCCATCCATCTTATTTTTAAATAGAGCAAGATGAAAGAGCACTGGCTTCCCAAATGTAAACCCATGAGGCTTTGACCTCATGACCCTAGGAGCTAGAGAAAACTTTAAATATCTGTACCTTGAGTTTAAATGAATCATAAAAATAAATGCTAGAAAGAATATACTGTTTTTCTCAAGCAATCGAACAAAGCCAAGGCCTAACTAGGAAGTTTCTTCAAAGGCTTTCAAATCTAAAATCCTTTGAATCTCAAAATAGTAACTGCTATATTTCTTAGGTGTGTCTTTAGTACCAGGTGCTCTTCTCAGTGTTTTACATTTATTAAGTCTACATTGCTGAGAGTGAGGTCAGGTGCCCAGCCAGCACTGGCGTCCACCTGCAAGGGACTAGAGTAGTGATTTTTCAATCAGTGAGCTGTGAGAGGATCTTAGTATGCCATGAAAGTTTTAAAGATCATTAATTAAACTATTTTTGAAAGAAGTTCAAACATAGTGCATATTTTAATCTTTTTTTTTTGATCAACATAATTTAAGGTGCCGTGGAAGTTCAAGTGTGCCATGAGATAAAAAGTGTTGAAAACCACTGGATTATGAGCTCTTTGTAGATTAAGCCCTGAGATTGTTGGGTTTGTACATTTAAATAGGTGTGATCGCTCCACTTTATAGGTGGTAAAATATCTGAATTGGGCTTCTGGAATAGGTTCTGAAGGTCCTGCCCTCTTCAAGGAGGGATCCTTAAAGTGATGAAGGGGCTCCCTGTCCCCTTCATCTTTATCCAGGGACAAAAGTGGAAGAACAGATAAAAGGTGGTAACTGTATCAGACAGAAAGACCCAGTGAAGTCAGTTCTAGAACAGAAAACTTCATCCAAAACCTCCTTTGAAAGGTTGGGGCATTAAAGATTCTGTGTCTGGGACCTGCTGGCTCACGAAGGAAAGGATGTTACAAAGGCAAGCGGCCTGTAACACCCAAACAAAAACCTAAACCAGCAACACGTCATTTCTTGGTTAGGAGGAGGCTGCAGACCTAGACGTAGAGCAGTGGTTCTCAACCCTCCTAATGCCACGACCCTTTAATACAGTTCCTCATGTCGTGGTGACCCCAACCATAGAATTATTTTTGTTGTTACATCCTAACTGTAATTTTGCTACTGTGATGAATCATAATGTAAATATCTGATATGCAGGGGTCGCAACCCACAGGTTGAGAACCGCTGACATAGACAATGAACATCAGTCAGCCCAGTTCCTACATCTAAGGCGTGATTCAAGGACAGTTTGGGATGGAAGAAAAGCACAAGAAAGCTTTTAAGGCAAAAAGCTAAGTAGGAAGAAGGGAGGGAAGCAAATATACCAACCACCTAAGCTAAGAGCATATAATTGCTATTCCTGGGGGTGGAACTTAAACTCTTTGCATTATAGATGCATTTGCCAATGGATTGGACGACAACCACATTTAAATTTTTATAAAAGCAAATTTGCACCAGAGTTAACTCGGCACTTATAAAAGAATAAAGCATTTTCAAATTTAATAGAAGGGGGTAGAAAAAAGCTGGGTACAGTGAGTTTTGAAATCAGACAGATGTGGGTTTGATTTCTGCCTCTATCTCTCTTCCTTTTAGAGAACTTGGCAGCATTATCATTTGGGGTCTCAACTTCCCTACCAGTGAAATGGAATAATAACCTCTGCCTCTGCAGCTGGTTTCGGGGATTAAAGGTCATTCTCATTCTGAAGAATCACAAATACATACCTTTTCTGAGGAAACAGAGCACAACAAAGGGGTGTAGCAAATACCAAACTTTAAAAAAGAACAAAGGAAAAAAAGGTAAGTCAGAGCATTTTGAAAATGATCAACTTCTTATATTCTCTGTTTCACTTTTGTAACAATCCTCTTTCTTTAGAGGATTCTTTATATTGCCTGACAGATATATGCCCGGTTTGGGTAAATTACCTAGGATTGCTAAAATAATGAAAAAAAATCAAAGAGATAACAGGGGTTTACAAAAGAATCACCCAAATAGCTTTAAAGTTGTAGGTTTCTCTAAAGACAGTTTACTTTCATCTGATTATTGGGACCGTAAGATCCAGATATGGGTCTGGAATGGGATGGTCTCATTTTCAAAACATGTGTTCCATATTATCCTTCCTTTACCTTTTATGTGCTATATATTCCAAAAAGAAATTCATTATATAAGAGTAATGGCTACTCACCAGAAGCCAACTAATCCAACTTGAATAGGCGCACTCATCCATGGGAACCTCTGTGGAGAGAAATAAATGATTCTGAATAATTTTTAGACAGACACTTAGAGACAAGACTTTCTGCTGATTAACTGGAAGAAACCTCACTACATCACAATATCCAGATGGAATGTGTTTAGTGAGCTTTCAGGGTAACACTGCAACAAGTGTGCTAGTCCTATTTCCCGTGGCTCTCCTAGATCTGTCAGTGAACACACATGCAAAAATCAAGTGGCTTCTATTTCACTTCCCCCTGGCACATATAATCTAAGCACTGCTTCATAATGTACAGGAGGTAGAGGAACAGCTATCATTCAATTACAATTTATCTCCTGGCTGGAGACACAGTGTAACCTGGTGCTAAGGTTTGAAGACAAATGATTCTGCACTCAAATCTCTGCCTTACTTGTTAGTTCCCAGCTAGGGGATGGGCAGGGAGAGCCTTACCTCTCCAAGCTATGATTTCCTTGTTATGATAAAAAAACCAAAAAAAACCCCAAAACCCGGAGCATCATAACAGCTTCTTAAAAGTGTGTGGATGAAGATATGCCAGATAACACTCATACTGACCCTAGGATGGTCCCTGGATCATTTACCCCCCCGACAGCTCCTTATCCTTCTCATCAGTCTTGGTTGGGGTTGCTGTCAGTATGGTTAAAACTATTTCTGGTATAAAACATTTTTGTTAGTCACATATTTTTTTTTAATGGAAATAAACAAGTTGGTTGGTCTTTTGGAAAACAAATGCTGTTAGGTTTTTAGTTTTAAAAAAGGGAGTGATACCAAAATACACAATGTAAAGAGCAGTATGATATATGGTTATATAAACAAGGCCACAAAAATAGCTGTCAACAAGTTGTGAACTGGTTATAATGAAATCAGCCAACTTCAGTAAGAGTCAACACAAGCCATTACAAGACAGTGGGCATGCGAGGCATACCCCGGTCCCCGAGGAGACTCCTCTGGTGAACAGGTACATCAGGAAGGTCAATGCAAGGGGAGAAAGGTTTGGACTAGAGAGGAAGGGAGAACCGTTGTCAAAGGAGGCTGATCCACATAGGTTACACAGGGGACCCCGCCCCTCAAAATAAAGAAAAGGAAAACATTGCATCTTGGGCAACTCGCTTCGTGTGATGACGGTTGTCATCAGGAGATGGAAATCCTTGCCCTAGCACTCTCCAGACAAGTGATGTCTGGACTGGCACCCAGATTTGGTGATGAGAAGGCAAGTGAGCATTAAGCAAGATCCTGTGGATGGATGAACTTGGGTCTGTGAGAGCAGCCCCCTTGTTTCAAGTACACTCTTATCTATAGAGAATTGGGTTACCTGTTTATCCCAAAGGGAACAGCTGCATGTCACCTCTGAGCTGGACATGCATGATGGCCACCGCCCATGCAGAGGGTTTTGATGAAAGGTTCCTCACAATGACCAGGTTCCTAGAGAATTCTAACTTACCCCACAGTACCCAATCTGATGTCGTCTCTCTCTAGGCTCCTTCCGCCAGCACCCTGCCTAATTCATCCCCACCTTCCAAACAGGACTTAGTTTGAGATGAAATTAGTGAGCTGAGGATGTTTGATCTTTCACTAGATATTCACAAAATTCCTCAAGGTATGGACACATCTTATCTAACAGAACTGTTGAAACAGTGGATATTTTAAATAAATAGTTCAAATGAATTAAAGACAATAAACATAAAGTTAAAAGACATGGCCAAATTATTTTTTCCTCAATGATCTTTTTTTCCAATAGCTTTATTAACATACTATCAACTGCTCATATTTAATGTCTGATATTAAGCTTTGACATATGCCATCACCACAATCACAATAAAGAACATATCCATCACTCTGAATATCTTCCTTGTCCCTTGTGCTCCTCTGCATCTCCTTCCTCTTCCCAAATCTTGCACCCCTTCTCCTGGCAGCCTCTCAGTTACTTTTTGTCACTATATGTTCGTTTATTAAATATATCTTTAGGATTTAATATATAGTGTCCACTCTTTTTTGCAATTCCTTCACGTTGCGTGTATCAATAGTTTGTTACTTTTTATTGCTGAGTTAAGTTTTCTACGTATTTATCCATGTTCTTGCTGATGAACATTTGCGGTATTTCTAGTTTTTGGCTATTACAAAGCTGCAATGAACATCTGTCTTTTACGGACATGGGCTTTTGTTTCTTCTACATAAATACCTAGGAGTGAAATGACTGGTTCATATGGTATTATAAATTTAACTTTGTGAGAAACTGTCAAACTGTTTTATAAAGTAGCTGCTCCATTTTATGTTCCCGCCAGCAGTGGCAAAAGTTCCAGTTCCTTCATATCCTCACCAACACTTTTTATCTTCACCAGGAGCTGACCTATTATTTCTTATAGTCTTTAATTTTATTTTATTTTATTTTTATTATTATTTTTTTTGAGATGGAGCCTCAAGCTATCCCCCTGGGTAGAGTGCCATGGCATCACAGCTCACAGCAACCTCCAACTCCTGGGCTCAAGCGAGTCTCCTGCCTCCGCCTCCCAAGTAGCTGGGACCACAGGCACCCACCACAATGCCCAGCAATTTTTTGGTTGCAGCTGTCATTGTTGTTTGGCGGGCCCGAGCTGGGGATTCGAACCTGCCACCTTAGGTGTATGTGGCTGGCGCCTTAGCCGCTTGAGCCACAGGCACCGAGCCTAGTCTTTAAGTTTAACCACATAACACTAAAACCTTCCAGTAGCTGTTCAGTGTTAGCTCATGTGGTTTTAATTTGAATTTCCCCAAGGAATAAATCTCTTCATGTGTTTACCTGCTACCTGTATTTGGTGGATGTCTGTTCAAACTTTTTGCCTATTTTTTTTTAAAGTGGGTTATTTTCTTGAATGAGCACTGGGAGTTCTCTATATATTCTGGACGAAAGTCCTTTCTCAGATACGTGCCTTGCCAAAATCTTCTGACTGGCTGTTTCTTGTCTTTTCATCCTCTTCATAAGTTTTTGAAGAACAGAATTTTAAAATTTTGATGTAGTCCAATTGATCAATTTTGCTTTTATAGACTGTACCTTTAGTGTCGTGTCTAAGAAATCTTTGTCTAACCCTAGGATATTCTACTATATTTTCTTCTAGAAGTTTCATAGTTGTAGACTCTTACGTTTAGATTCTGTGAATGACTGAGTTAATTTTTCTTTATGGGACAGTCAATTCTCTACATATTGGCTACATCTCAGCCAACCTAACCATTCCCAAATCTCCAATGAGCCATGCTCTGTGTCTTTGCCGAGCTTCTGCAGAACATGTGCCCTTGGCTAATGCTCTTCAAGCCTCTGCCCATCTATGCCAGCGGGGTAAAACACCGCCTTTGTGCTCCCTCAGTGCTGTAACCACTATGTGTTCATTTGTCCTGGCCTCTTTCCCCACCATGTAACATGCTTCCTGAGGGGAGGGCTTATGTCCTTTTGGGTGACTCAGGTGCCTAGCACGTTGCTCAGCAGAAACAGGCATTCAGCAAAGGGCTGCTAAATAAGTATATAAATGAACAAATAAATGCTACATTTGCACTCAATTAGCAGACAGTCCCAAAAATCGACTGCGTAGACAAAGCAGTGCACTTTCATTAAAGGGAAATGTTAAAAAAAAAAAAAAAGAGAGAACTTAAGGAATGAGAACTATTACAGGACCCACACCCATACCAATTTTCATCCCAATGAAAGTACCAGCAAGAGTGACTTACATTTAAAAGGACAATAGGAACTATTCTTCAAGAAAAACGCGGAAATACCAGATTTTAGGCAGTAAACTTTTTGGTTTATTGCAAAAATTTCCGTGAGTCAGCTGCCCACAGCTGATGCCTTTTCCAGCTCCCCACTTGGGAAAGGATAAAGCGTGGGGGGAAGAATGAGTCATGCTGACTGCTCCCCAAGCTTCACTATTTAAAAAAGCCCAGAATGTTCAATTAGTTTCATGTTTGCAGAGGAGTTTGGTCATTTCCAAGGTAAAAGCCTAGATAAGTACATCCTTGCAGAGGCGGCACACCTGGCTGTGGGGGAGCCAGGGGGAGGCCAACCGAGGCAGGGACCTCCCACGTGGGCACTAGGAAGCTTCTGGGGCAATGATCCTTGAGCCTTTGTAAAGGGGCAGGGTAAGGCCTGCTTTTCACATTAGAAGGTGCAAATGGTTTGAACATGGAACAGTACGGATATTTATATAAGCTGCCTCTGTGTATGTTTTAGGCATGGCGATATTCAATTAAATTCTATAGTCCTCTCTACATGGGAAAAATGCAACATTTAAATGTAACGGCAACCTTGAACTTGGGAGTGGTGGATATATGGGAACCTCAAGAATATTTAGCCATTACTTTTTCAAAGCAACATCTTACATTGCAATCTGAATGAGGACAGCTACAACCCAATCCCTGTAGCTAGTGAGATGCTGGGACTGGTCTGTGAGTTACTCAATGGCCTCGCCGGACCCTGTCACAGGGGGTTCAAGATCAGAGGCCCTTCAGTGCGTGCATGGGGCAGTCAGGGAGATGGCTTATGCAGGAAGAGTGAGTGAGGCGGTAGACTTCCGAATTATGACTGAAGGGCATAATAACAAGCAAAGCTAAAAAATACACATTAAGATGCGGGTGGGAAGAGCATGGTATTTATCCATCTTACTGTGTAAAAACCTGGAACACTGCGGTGGTGTTAGGCTAAGATGGGGCTAACTGCTCATATCATTTGCTAGTTCCTTCATGTGAGAAAATGCCAGGGTACATCTACAGCCATTTCCATCTGTCATAGCAAGAAAATTATGCAATATGCCCAACTCCATTTTCTGTCCAGTGTTTGTGAGAAATTAGAGGAACCGAGACAACTGTTCCAAACAGAGACCCCATGAAACTGCTACTCCAAATTACTTTTTCATTCCTAGGACAGACAGAAATAAACACATCATTCCAAATTCACACTGTCTCTTCGTTTTTACCTAGCTAGTCATTTAATAGATAACTAAGTACATAACTGGGCTATACCCGCTCAACCGTAGCAGTCTTCATTTACAAGAAGTGCTTTTAAATACCTGAGATGAAAGATAAAATGTTCCTAGAAACATTTTATTTATGTAAGAGTTCAAGAGAAACTGACCTTTCAATTCTTGGCTGTTTTTTTTTTTT